GAAAACAAGGTTGAAGAATCAAAAATTACAAAAAATCATTTAGAAGGTTTGGAAAATCAATTAAAAACAGCAAATAAGGTTTATATGCTTATATAAGCTTTATTTATCGAACGTGATTTATGTCGGATCGATTTACATTATTAATTTATTTAGGAATTGGATATGTTTAGACAACAAGAAGCGAGTAAAGAGGATTCATCTATTCAAAATATACTTGAATTGCAGAGTAAATTGTTATTAGAGAAAGATGATCAAATTTCTGGGCTTTTATCTGAAGGTAAATCATTTTTTAATCATTAATTATAATTTAATTCTCAATAAAGTATCGACAACCTTTTCTCATTATCAAGGCAAAAAATTATCAAAGAATGAACTTGAATATTGCACAAGTTTAAAAAAATATCGAGCAAAAGATATTGAACAGGAAAATCGATTGATCGATCTTCAAAAGAAATATGATAAGGCCGCCTCAGAGATAACCGAATTGTCAGCTAAATTAAAACAAATGCAAGAAATTGAAAAAAAGAATAGTTATAACTTGAAGATGATTGAAAGTGAACAAGAAAAGAAGATACAGCAGAATTTGAAATTAGAGATTGATATTGCTGTAGCAAAAGAAGAGCGAGATAAATTACAAGTATGCTTATGGATTTTTCAAGTGATTTTTGTTCCATATATATAAATTTTTTTTAAATATTTTTAAAGCGTCTTTTAGATCGGACCAATGCGGAACTCAAAGAAGCACTTGATATCAATGCTACTTCATCTTCACAAGTACAAGCTGCAGCTTTGGAAAAGGAGGTAGAGATATATATAATTTTTACTTTGAAATGATTTAAGAATAATCATTTTTTTTTTTTTTTTTTATGTTTATAAATTCAATTTCTTTTTCGCAGATTCAAATTAATGAAAGACTTCATCATGAGCTAGAACAGTTACGCACCGAATCAGAGAATACAGAAAATGCTTTGCGGTTAGAGGTGTGTATGCCTCACAATACGAAGTATTATATAAACCCTACGTCTCATAATCTTATGTAAGGTTATGAGCCCGTCAAAAAAATTACGTATATGTAGTACTTCAATATTTTACGACGCGTAATAATTCAAAAGTTTACGACACGTAATATTTCGAAAGTATACGATGCATAATATGACGATCATCTTTTGTATTTTATTCAACAAGTTCTTAATAAATTTTATTATATCACAGATTCGCGAGTTGAGAACAACACTTGCACGAATCGAAGAGCAGACTGGTTTAAGAGAAGATATTTACGTCATGAAGTGTTGGTATGATTGTAAACCTTAATTTAATATGTTCGTTTCAATTTATATGCTGAGAATGGTTAACATTTATAGGTTTTACAACAACGAATGCAAATTGCTGAGGCAGCAGCACAAGATGTAACATCAGGAGAATGGGAGATAGAGCGTATTCAGATACTTCGACGCATAGAAGACGTACAAACACAACATGCACTGTCTGTGAAGAATTG